TTTCAGTTTTCTATGCTTTACTACATCTTCAGGATTTGGTGTAAGGAAAGTATCTAATGGACCTTTAGGTTGTGATGTTTTCAAGATAGATGTAGATGTCGATCCTTGACTAAATGTGTTAGATTTATTTGTCCGCAACATTTTGGATGGTTTAGCAATTAAAATATCATCTGTCATCACATTAAAGTCTTTTCCTTCTTCTTCAGTAAGGTTGACATTTGATATGTCATTAAACTGTTCCTTTAAATCCTTTTTTTCAACATGGATGCCTTAATTTCAGATTTCACATGCTCGGGACAGTTTGAGCAAGGCCTTGCATTCCTAAAACCCCCAACGAGGTGTTGTTTGTGGCGTGTAATTCCTCCTTTTGTTATTTTACCACAAAAAAATGCATGTCACACTGTTGTTGTCGGATTCATTTGTTAGTATAGCATATTTCCATGCTGGATTTTTTTTTAAAGATTGAACTGAATATGACATTTTATAATCACCTAAAAACAAACAAATTTAGATAAAAGAAACATAATATTGTCCAAGAAACATAATATGCGGGTTGCCCGGGGTCTAAGGGGGTGCTGCCCCCTAGCGGGGTTTGACCTGCCTGGTCAGGTCACGGGGTCAAGGAGCGCAGCGCCCTTGCCGGGGTTTCCAGGGACAACACCCCCAGAACAAAATTTATTTATAAGAGTAATTTTGAAGTTCGTTTGTATGGAAAGATATCGAGCGGTACCGAGTGTGTATCTAGTTGTACCGAGCAGTACCGAGCATGTACCGAGCGGTACCGAGCATGTACCGAGCGGTATCGAGCATGTACCGAGTGGTACCGAGCATGTACCGAGCGGTATCGAGCATGTACCTAGCGGTACCGAGCGTGTATCTAGTGGTACCGAGCTAGTATATAGCGGTACCGAGCGGTATCCAGCATATACAGCGGTATTGAGCATTTACTTAGCGGTACCGAGCATGTACCTAGCGGTACCGAGCATACCTGTTAAGTTGTAAATTATTGTAAGAAATAGCCATGCAAAACAACAGAGCTGTGCGGAATAGACGGATGTTGCAAATCGGAGTCAGCTGGTAAGAGTTTTTATTTGAACAGACGGAGGGGGCGGATTTGGCGGACGCACTGCTCTGCGGGACGATTCGGCGGAAGAAGCGAATGCAGCAAATAGAAAATCTTCGACTTCTGGACAAATTCAACGACTTCGACTTAGGGACTGCGGGATGTGTTCGACGGATGAAGCAAACAGAAAATTTTTCGTGAAATTAGGGCAACGAATAGTTGTTTATCTTAAAATATAGATATATTTTTAAATATAAAAAATATTTATAAGTATACTGAAATTTAAAAATAATTTGGCGCGCTATTTTGCGCTGTGCGCAATGCGCCATGGCTCACATGTGGCGCAAATAGCGCGCGCTATTTTAAACACATGCACCTCGCCATGAACATGGTTGCCGTAGGTGCGCCATGGCGCACGCTATTTTGCGCCATTAACAACTATGCAGGAGAGTTAATATTCTCCATGTAAAGAGGAGAAATCTTGGGAGAAATAATTACGAAAGTTTATTTAGGGAAATATGGCTAATTTGAATTTAGATTGGGTAGAAAATTAGGAAAGGTTTATTTAAGGAAGATGATTGATTTAAATTTAGATTTGGTAAGGAATTAATAAGGTTTTATTTACGGAAATAGGGTTGATTTGAATTCAGATTTGGGAGGGAATTAGGAAGGTTTATTAAGGGAAATAAGACTGATTTGGGAGAAAAATATAATGGTTTATTTAAGGATAATTAGGTTGTTTTATTTTCATTATTTGATGTATGTTTGTTGTAATTTTCTTAGGAGTTGTTTCTAACTGCGTCGAGGGTTTATGGGAGAGTTGATCTGCCTCTCAAATAGTAGATCACTTGCATCTTTTATTTATGTTGAAAATATAATTAAAAATCAACCATTGTTTTTGTGTTCTAGCAATTTTCTTCATATCTATTTGTTGTTTTTACTCCTAAGGCACATCAAGTTGGTATCAGAGTACTTTTTTTGGACCTATGGCAGCAAAGAAGTTGAATGCGTTGGAAAGTGAGATAGAACAAATCAAGTCTGGCATGAAGGGGAAGTTCTCAACCATCGAAAGAAGGTTTTCATGGATGGAAAACCGATTAGGAAGGTTGGAGGAGATGATGAGGAAGCTCATGAAGATGCAATCCAAAACTCTATTGACGGTTCCGGTGACTAACCCTAACCAAGATTTAATCGGGATTCCCTTGGCCTAATCAAAGGAAAAGGAGATTAGATGGGAGGAGTTCAATGAGGAATTTTTTTTTCATCAAGAGCCATATCCTGGGGCTCTAATAAGGGGCAGATTAGGGTTTCCATATGAGGGAATAGCAAGAGGGAATTTTTTGGTGGAGGTGGTAGGGTGGCCGACCATTTTGAGAGGCATTTCGGGCAAGGGGAGTGGCACTTCGGGCAAGGGGAGTGACAAATTGGAGGAGGGGGTCAAGAGTCACCTCCTAGGTCTCTGATAAGGGGCAAAATAGGGTTTTCAGATTGGGGGACAACAGGAAAAGAGTTTTGTGGTGGAGGCGGTAGGGTGGCCGATCATTATGGGAGGTCTTTTTGGGGAAGAGGAGTGGACGATCGGAGGAGTGGAACAAGCCGAGCCATGGGGATCGGGTTATGTAAGGCAGGTGAAAGAAAGGTGGGATTCCCGCCCTTGATAGATGGGGAAAACATGGAGGGATTACGACAACTGCTATATTGGAGGAGGAAGAAGCTATTGGGGAGGTGATGATTCTAGGGTGAGAAAGTTGAAGATGCAAATTATTGATGACAAGGAAGAGGAGCAACACAGAACTTTCAACAAACTAATTGAAGAGGATAAAAAAATAATCATCTCAAGGAATAATCTTATTGAGTTGTCAATTCATTCTCAGCATCATGTGTTTATTGTTCAGGAAGTATTTATCAGGTGGAAGGGGGAGAAATCATTGGAGATATAATTAGAAAAAGTTATTGAGGGAAAGATGACTGATTTGAATTTAGATTGGAGAGGAAGTTAGGAAATGTTTATTAAAGGAAAGATGACTGATTTGAATTTAGATTTGGAAAGCAAGGGCGGAACCACGTTAGCTTGAGGGGGGGCAATTGCCCCCCCTGAAAAAAATTTATTTTTCCCTAAGCCTCTTCGTCCCACCGTGACTTGCATGGCAAGTTAGCGTGAGAGTGGACTGTTGCCCCCCCTCCCCCAAAAAATAATTTCTCTATGCCCCTTCATTCCGGTGTCAACCTAGTTCTAGCAAATAAGAGAAGAACACAAGAATGGGCAGAGGAGCTCCGGCAAAAACCCAGCAGCTCTATTCTCCATTGCTGGCGACGGAGCAATCTCTCCATCCTGTGCTTGAACCAATGCAAAGCTAAGTAGCAGGACAATAACATAAAGCATAAGCGAAGACTTCATCATCATGGCTTTCATATGAGAAATGAGAAGTGGGGAAAGAGACAAAAGCTTTAGCTTTTACAAAGAACTGAGCAGATGTCTTGAAAATCAACTAATTTAATACATTTGGATATATTTATAAATCATTTGAGTAAAAAAGCAACAAAAATTACAATTTTACATCATAAATAATATTATTTAAAATTTATATATTATTTGAGTAATAAAGCAACAAATTTTACAGCTGGCTAGTTGTGCTCAATCTCAAAATTGTGTCTATATATATGTTGAAATTTTATTTAACGTTATTACAATAAAGCTCTGTAAATTGTTGCAAATGTTTCTGCACTCTCTATATATGATATACATGCAATATTCTCTCTCTCTCTCTCTGTATATATATATATATATATATATAATTCTTTAGAGGCGAAAAACCTGGCAGGTCGAATCCCGCCAGGGGGCACTGCCTCTTTGGACCCACGACATATATGTCTTATAAGTTTGCCCCCCCTGAAAGTTAGGGCTGGTTCCGCCCCTGTTGGAAAGGAGTTAGAATGGTTTTATTTGGCGAAAGAGAGCTGATTTGAATTCAGATTTGGGAGGAAATTAGGAAGGTTTTATTAAGGGAAAGAAGGTTGATTTGAATTCGTATTTGGGAGGGAAATATAATGGTTTATTTAAGGGTTATTTGATTGTTTTGTTTTCATTATGTGATTTATGTTTGTTGTAGTTTTCTTAGGAGTTTTTCCTAGTGACGTCCAAGGTTTATGGGAGAGCCGATCTACCTCTCGAATAGTAGATCACTTGTATCTTTTATTTATGTTGAGTAGATAATAAAAAATCAGCAATTTTCTTCCTATCTATTTGCTATTTTTACTTCCAAGCTCATCAGATGCCTAAATTTAATTTTTTGGATTTTTTATTTAGAAGAGCTAGGAATATAACTTGAGATATATATAAAGTTAAATTTAGTCGATTAAAATAAAAAAATTGCCTCAATAGTACTTTGCGACAAATATCATGGAGAGTTAAAGATAAGTTTTCTAAACTTACAATCAAAATAATGTGTATAGGGATTTGAGCGTGGGTGAAGAAGTCATTGATAGCCAAGTTGAGCATGGTAGAAATGAGAATGTGTAAAAGGACAAGAAAGGATAGACTGAAAAATAATTATATTGGGGATATTGGGAGTAGTATCCACGGAAGATAATGTAGTGAAAATGAACTTATGTGATTTACGAATGTACAATGAAAGAACCAACAAGACGAGCATGTAAAGTTCATGTCAAAAAGGAAGAAGATGGGGTAATCTTATGATAACACAAATATAAGCTATCTGAAAGCTTTACAACATTTTATGATACACAAAACAAGAATGAGTGGAGAATGCCGATTCATAAAAATTGGCTTTAAATAGTTGGGACAAGGCCAATAATTATGATGACCCCTTTTTTTTTTAACATTAGTTGTTCTTTGGAGATGTGTCCTTTTTATTATGAATGTCTTCATATAATAATAATAATTATTTTTTAACTTAGCAGAACTTGGTTTTTCCAGGTTAGGATGATGATGCTGAAAGTAATTGCAAGAACTATTGGATTGCACGGCCTAATCTTGTTAAACTTTTATCCGTTTCTTCAAAGATATGTCCAGGTATTGAACTGCATTAATGGTTAATCTGTCTGATCTTATTTGTGAGAAATGTGTTTCTTAAGATTGAATGTTTAAAATTTGACAGCCTCATCAGCGTGATGTGACAAATTTACTTGCTGCAGGAATACAGGCATGCCATGATAAGGTTGTAGTCATTTTCTTTTATGGCCTATTTTAAATTTCTTTATTTAGTTAATATACTTCCCTTGCTTCATTTGATTAAACTTGTCTTTTCTGCATGTATTAATACTTTTCAGAAATAACATTGTAATAAGAAGACCAATATGCTTGTAATTCTTATGTATTTAAACAAAAGCAAGGAGTTACCTTATATAATAAATAACAAAAGATTTGATGGTGTGACACATAAAAGAGAGTATCTCAACAGTTCCCAAACCATTGGTCTTCAATTTCGAAGTGTAAAATTGAATGCTTACGTTTTCTGTAGGCTGACAAAGTCCAACTCTCTTCCTGCTGTGCTTTATATATTTAGCATAAACTCATTATTTAATTTCTCTTATGTACTTGAATTAAATTGTCTCACTCCTGATTTGTTGTTGTTAGGTACCTCCTGATGCAGTGGAACCACTGTTTAAACAAATTGTTAATCAATTTGTGCACGATCGATCACGTCCTGAGGTACCACACACATGGCTTATTAAGTGCATATTTTGCTGTCACATTACTTCAAAAGGTGCACTTTTTTTATCTGCTTTTGTTTCGATAGGCAATCGCCGTTGGATTAAATGTAGTAAGAGAAATGTGCCTTAGAATGCCTCTGGTATGTTTCTTTTCTTTGTCCAGTTGGTTTTTCCTGTTGAACTTGTTTGTTAATGTTTTAAAATCTTTGCTGTTAAACTTTTCTGTAATTATCTTTTGGTTTTGAGTTTTTCAGTTTGTCCTTACTGCTTTTAGTATTGATATCTCCTATCCTACCTGGAAGGGTTTGATTGCACATTGGTAGATCTCTTGAAAGGTGCCATATTCTCTTATCCATAAACATTCAGATAGGCCTTGTGGAAAGCCAGTTTTGAGGGTGTGTAGCACAAAAGACCCCATTTATGCCTGCCTCATCTAGTCACAAGGCCTCATCAAGCACATGCTAATGCATTTGAAATTCCATTAAGTTCCAGAATGAACAAGTACTTAAAGAATATTTGATGTCATAATTTATTTTAAGTTTTCATGTAAGAATCTTAGTCGTAAATATAGGATGTGAGTATCACAGCATGTGGTCTTGGAGATGCAGCTGATGTTAAAGTTCAGCTATTGGGCGAATGAAGGATTTCCCAAAAGCTTGTATACATCATGTACTGGAAAAGAAATAGATCTGGCTTTTTAAATTCCTTTGAGAATATTGCAATATTTTATGTGTTAAATTTTATATAGCCTTAACAAGTCAAAGTAGAAGTTTTTACAATATAGGTAGTTTCAAGCTATTAATTTAATGGCTGCCCAAATTTGTTGGTGACCATCAAAAGTTTGGCCTCCAAATAAAAGCAACACGTGTGCAATAATTTCAAGTTTTTATGCCATTTTTCATTCATCATGAGCTTGAAGGATTGCTAATTATACTTGTTACTTATACGATTCTACTAAAAGGCTTGTATTTCTGTTTTTGTACTATGATTCCTACCGGGTATTGTAAATTTTGTTTTTATTCTCCCCTCATATATTGCTCTTAAATATGGGCAGCAGGAGTTACTTTTATCTACTTACAACATAGGAGTTGCTAGGATTGCCTTCATGAATTCTTACCCTTTTTATGGGAATTGCCCTTTTGCTGTTCTATATTTTATTTTAATTTCCTTTCATTTTTGTTCTTAGTTGATGAATGAAGACTTGCTTCAAGACTTGGCCTTATACAAGAAGTCTCATGAGAAAGCTGTTTCAATTGCTGCACGCTCCTTGATCACTTTATTCAGAGAGGTATATTTCAAAGTTTGTCATTTTACTGAACTGCCATCCTTGCCTTGAATTAAAAAAGCAGGCATTTTATTTTGCTTATGTTTGTAGATATGCCCATCATTATTGGTCAAGAAAGACCGTGGCCGCCCCATTGATCCAACGGCTAGGCCAAAAGCATTTGGAGAAGTTAGTATTGCCAGTGATGTGCCTGGTATAGAGTTACTCCAACATGAGGATGAGCTAACCACCAGTTCTGATGATGATATGGATACTGGTGATGCTGTTATTGAAGTAAATCATTCCTGGCCTCTTGGAACTGATGAGGCTACTGGTGAATTGGAAGAAGATGCTGATACTAAAGAAGATGAAGGTTCTGCTAAAGATGATGGAGAAGAAGGCAATGCAATCAATCTTAATGGCAATGCCAGTGATGATAGTGATGATTTGGATGCTGGTGTCGAGTTGGACAGTAATGACGAAGGGTCAGAGCATGATGACTGGGCTGATGCCAGTGATTATGAAGAAATAGATGAAATAAAAGCACAGCAGACATCTGCTGAGTATGATGAAGATAATGAAGATGATAGTGGTGATGATGTTGAAAACAGCGATGTTGAAAAAGTGGAAGATGAGCCAAGGAAAAAGAGGAGGAAGCTAGAAGATCATGTTGGAAATTTGAATGCCGCAGATGCAAGCCTACGAGCTCTGAAAAGACTAGCAGGAATCAAGACTGCTAAAGCTTCAACTGATGAAGCTGACGGCTTTCTTTCTAATGAAGATTTCCAACGTATTAAAAAGCTGAAGGTAACATTGATGCTGGATTCGCTAAATTCATAGCAAGCCATCGACTTGAGATGATTCTTGTTATGTCTTCTGCAAAAATTTTCTAGTTCATGCGAATATTGTTTCCATTGCTTTCAAAGGAAGGTTTGACTAGTCTAATTATGATAAAATGAAGCAGTATAAATGAATCTATAGTGGTTGGTCATAGAATGATAAGATGATTATCTTCTACTAACATTGTACGCACATTCTAACTTCATTTTTTGGGTTAAATTTCTTAGGCAAGTAAAGAAGCAAAGCAGGCATTATCTCAACATGGTCTTTTAGGAAAGGATGCTAAATCTACATCAACAACTTTCAAAATCCCATCTTCTGAGCAGCTCAGCACAAAACGTTTGGATCCCTCTAAATTAGAAGTGAGCTCTCTAATGCAATTGCCTGTTTTGTTTGAATTAATTTACAGTTTCATCAACCAATGCATATTTTATCAAACAAAATAAATTGAGCTTATTATATTAGATCCTAATAAGTTGATAGGTTCTCTGTTGCCCGACCATGTGGCTATCCTGTGTGGTGACATGAGGACTTACAAAAGAAAAGAAAGGGATGGGGTTCTCTTGCTTCTGGCATAGTTCGTCTTCCCTGGAAGGCCCACACAACAAGCAATTACCTCAGTTGTAGAGTCATTAATGTAGTGATGACAATGCCTGGGAAGTTCCTACCATTAAAATAGTATGAGATATTGACAGGCAAGCGTATTCTTTAGGTGCAAGCTGATAGTACATGCTCTTTAGTGTGCTTCTCTAATATGTATATGTGTTTATTTTACTTGCATTGAAAAGGTGGGATTTAGATCTTCTGTCCCTCTTCCATCTTGGTTTCGAAATTCCAGCTTTTCCAATCATGCCCTCAGAAAGGGCAAGGCCCTTTGGCGTCAGACCACTCAACGTAGCCTGGGGCGTGGCACAATTTTTCTGCTCAATTGAAACCGAAGAAGCAAGCTCGCCTTGCTGATCCGACTTTCCGGTGAGTTTGGTTGGAATCAGATTAGGAGGCGCAGTTCAGAATTTGATTCAACACCAATATGAGCACCATGAAGGATAATCCTGCCCTATTGTTTGCATAGGAGATTGGATTCTATACACAAACTTTAGAAATCTTTGTGGATACTTTTAGATTTGCTTCCTATTTAGCCTTTTTTTCCCCTAATTAATTTGTCTTGCATGATTGGTCAAACCGTCAAAGTTTTAAAATATTATTAATTTATCATAACAAATGATCACTGTGATGTCCATTCATTTCTAAATTCTAATGTCTTTATTAATGAATGAATATACCTTTGTTTGCACTAGATTTCATATGCGAAAATAAAATCTCATGTCTTTTTATTCATGTATAATATCCTTTGTTCTTAATATAACACAACAATTGTGTGATGTTTAGGCACACATCAGGAATAAGCTTAGCAAGGAGGAAAGATTAGCCCTGGTTAGAGCAGGCAGAGAAGACAGAGGACAATACCAGGCCAGAGCTGCCGTGAAACAGAAAAAGGTATGATCTATGAAAATTTTTATGTTTTTTTCTGACATGTTATTCACTTTCAATATTTCCAACGGTGGTCGCATGTTGTAATTGGATCAATTTTTCATTGTTTTTGTCCTTGTTGATCAATTTAATAAAAGCAAAATATTTCTTTTTAATGCTCCGGTATTATGTTTTAAATTTGTTTCAAGATGTAGTGAACTAGGAAAATGCTTTAGTAGTACCTTAAAAGTGTTGCAATTTGTGTGTTTTACGTGCTTATGCATTTTGGTTGGATGAAGTTGATCGTACAAATAATTTTTTTGGATCACATAGCTTTTGAAGGATATGTGGTCAATCTCTCAATGTTATTGTGTAAGCCCACACTGAGATGTTAGAATGGTTAGGAAGGGTTATAATACTTCTTTTGAGAGGAACCCCGATGACTTAGGATTTAAATTAAGGTGGCCTCAATTGAGTTTTCTTATTTTAGATAGTAAGCTCTGTCTATTCTTAGTTTCTCCTCTAGAAAACTAGTCAACTTGCGGTTTTCCCAAATGAATAGCTGTAATATTATTGTTTGCAGGTCATGCCACGACCTTGAAGTATCGGGTGGTAGTGAGAGGACGATGGAGGTGGTGGTAGAGGGAGGACACGATAGCTTTTAGGGCTGTTGGAGGCCCATCGGTCGGAGGAGAGGGAGAGAAAAGAGAGATTTTGGGAGAGATCAAACCAAATTTATTCCACAAATTAGGCCTTTATAGAACATTATAACAAGGGATAATATCTTATTAAATCTTAAACAACCTCCATAAAAGAGGGAGCCATATCTACAAATAACAAATTAGACAGTTTAAACTAAAATATAATTCCACTAGAATTTATTCTAATACTATAGTTAAAAGCAGGTTTATAAATTAAAAATCATCCTTATACTGATATAATATGAATATTAGTATAAGTGATCTTATTTTGCCAATGGTATGCTGTTGACTATCTTTTCCGTTTAATGGTTTGGTATGAGAATCAGCATCGTCAGTAGTCTTCATCAAGAAATTGGACTATTTGTAATCAATTGATCTTATCTCCCGACCCTTTTATGTTTTAATTCTCAAGTATGATGTTTCTTCTTGTAGTCTTCTTTAAGGTGAATCGTTAGATTGATCATCCCCTTTATTATTTTCTTTTATGAGAATTTTACTTCCGTGAAATTAAAATTCCAGTTGAGTGAGGCTACCTTCTCAGCTTCCTGTAGTATATTTTGTTTTGCTTGGTAAATAACCTTTCTTATCTTTGCATAATGCATCTTTTGGCCTATGTCTTGTGGTGGTAGTTTGCTATAAGATATCATTCACTTCTAAAGGTATTACATGCTCCAAGAGTAGATCATCCATAAAATGTATTTCTTCAGACCTATCATTAACCATTGAAGCTTCAAAAGACTTTAAATTCTTAATATTTACTATTTAATATAGCTCCATTTACGGTGAGAGTTCTTGCTAGCAAGCATTGTCTCTAACCTCCCTTAGAATTGAAAGACCATAGTTGATTGGCTACACCTTATTTCCTTCTTCTGATTATCTTTCTACATAGAAACTGCAACCTGTATGGCAGTTCTTTCATGCCAAAAAAACATGTTAGGCTAATTGAAAATTTCAAAAGACACCATCTTTAGTGTAAGTTCACTTCATGCACATGTATCATCAAGAAATGGTGAGTCTATACTTTGGATTTGCCCCCGGGAAGACACTTTAATACTTAAAGTTAGTTTGTGAACTTGAATTTAAGATTTTAATTTATGTTAAGGAGAATAAGCTCGTGAGAAGTGAGCACCAACCTTACCCCTTGGGGTGTTTATTTTGATTTGGGTAAGAATATTTTACTGTAGTAAAGTAGAATAGTGAGAGAATTTCTTATTTTTTCATTACATCCACTGGAGGTAACTTCATTTAAAATGAATACTCCACAACCTCTCTCATGTAATCCAACAACTATGCAAATTAGGGAGGAACCAACTAAAGTGATAAGATAATGATAAACATAATAAACTAAAAACCATTAGGACTAGCAGTAGAATCCACATCGATACCTATAATAGCTTATTGAATTTCATACCATAGGCACTTTAGTCAAGGACACATTATTTGAAACACAATCAGGAATAGCATCACAATTAGGTAAATCAACATAATCGCTTTCTTGAGATAGTAAATTGGAAAAGAAATTAGCGGCAGATTATTTAATTATTTTAGAATCATCAATCCAAATACCCTAAAGATTTTGAATTTTTAGAATCTTGATCTTATTTCTCTTTATATTTACAAAAGAATGGAAATGCATAATGTTTCTATCACCATCTTGAAGCTTCTTCAAACCAGTCATTTGCCTTCAAATTCCTCATAATATTGAATATGAAAGAGTTTATATTGAACAACCATAAGATTAGCTTTATTATTAGGGCAAACTGAATGTATAAACTTTGATAAAAAAGTGACCATTTTCATAATTCCTCAAATTCTGAAACACATTGCAAAAAAGACTTTTTCCAATCCTTTAAGAATAAGTTCAACTTTTTTAATTCTTGCCGAAGGATAGCAAGAGTTGAACCACTATGATAAAGAGAAAATGATCAAAATAATCAATTGACTTTTTATGATGGATCAAAATGATCTCTAATTATATTAAATGATTATTTTGTTCTCATGTATTTAAAAAGGAATCAAAATAGTTTATGATGGGGCTATTTTGGTTCATCTTTAAGGGGTTGAGGGAATAAAATGGTCATTTAATATAGTTAGGGACTATTTTGGTTTTCATAAAGAGTCAATTGACCATTTTGATTATTTTCTCTTATAAGAAATGTCTGGTTGAGCTTGAATTATGCTCAGGAAGTCTTTTTGAAGTAGCCACATATTTTGAATTTTCACCAGCCCCTTAAAAGAATAGTTATAAATCTTAAATCTGAATTATGAAAGGAGAATGATTAGAAGATGCTCTCTTAAGATTTTCAAACTTGTTATGTTGAGTAGAGTTGAGCCAAGAAACCGAATAAAATATTCTATAGCCTTTCTCACATCTTATTCTTACTCAAGGTAGATAGACTACCCTTAGGACTTGCATCAATATGATCACAATCCTTCTTAGCAAAGCCTTCTTGTGTGCTCCAGGAAATTATGGCACCATGGCCTCTTCACGTGATTTAAGGAGAGTTTTAATTGAATTAAGTTCTAGGATAAATTTTCGGAAGACAGATTGGTTAGAGATAAGATATTACCTAGAGATTTTGCCCTTATTGGTGAGGACTTTAAGATCTAAGTTCATGTTTGTCATAGGTACAAGCTCCTATGCTTAATTATTTCTCTCAATGATGAGAGAGCATTTTCGATCAAGGCTAATTATTAAATAGACACTAACTAGTTAGATTATAATATTAGGGATTTTAATATTTAAGATTTAAAATTTTCCACTTTGCACTTAAAGAGGAAGTGGGGGGGGGGGGGAATGATGACAAACTCAATCAAGATCTCATAGTTCTATCATTTCAGATTGTCATGGTCTCTAGTCTACATAGTTTAAGGAGCTAATTGACCTAACCTGATCGAATAATCCTTGTCGGCAGCCATAAGTTGCTTCGTATAAGGGTACATTGTAGATTTGGAGTGAGTATTTGTCGAGGGATAAATTCAAATCAGCCTTAGCTAATAGAGTGTTTGTGCTCTATCAAGTCAACCCTATAATTCATTATTCAAGTGTTTTAGCCATTGAAGAACATATGAGCTCTGGCCGTGATTGTAATATAGTAGAGATATGTCAGTTGAAATTATCCTTAAATTTATCGCTCTTATTAAATAGTTGAGGGGGGGTGGATGAGTTTTGCTTTAACGGTTGTTTGGTTAGAAGTAAAATGGGTGTAAACTATTTCAAATGCAGGGATATTGAGAATATTGGTGTTGGTTTGAAGCAAAATAAATGTTGTGTAAAATTTGGTGCATTTGGAATTCACTCTAGTTTAATTTTGGTGTATTTGGAATTCCTCATATTTGGGTGAGTTCCAAATACACCATAAATTCGTCACCATTGCCATTGCTCGACACCACCAACCACTACCCTCTTTGAATTTTATCATTTTACTTCAAATAAAAAAAAAAAAAAAAGTAATCTCATGCATTCATTTTACACACTTTCAAACAACTCAAGTATTCTTTTTACACTTCATTCTTTTTATATTTATATTTCTTTTTCAGCCAATCATAAAACCCTTGAGTTACGGCTGATTATTTTTTTCTAAAATATTTAAAATTTGATTGACATTATATTCTAAACTTTTGATAGATTTTAAAAATTAACTTCTCTGACTAAGATTTACTTTCAACATAGTCATCATCGAAGTATCACCTTTAAGCACAATCCTTCCAATAATCATCTCTGAAACTCCTTCCACATTTGTCCTTTTAATACAAGGAAAAATAGAAGCAAGCTTATTATCCTGTTCTTGTGACAATGCTAGGGATTTAGAATCCATATTAAGATTCACCGGCTCTTTATGATTCACCCTATGCTCATTTTAAATTTGATTCTGTTCAATTCGAGGACCTGGATCTATAGGAACCCAAGCAGGGTTCATTTTTTAGCAGCAGGAATCACAATATGTCAACATTATTAGTATAATTATGCTTCTTTATTATTGGCTTTCTTTTTAAGTGCCAAAGGAAGGGAGATTCTCAAATTCCACCTTCTGAAATATCTGATCTTTTTATATCTGTCGCGTCCGTGAATATTCGCGATGGTAGAGATATAAGATTTAGCGTCTAAATTTTATACGAAGACCTAACACACAGACATATATGAGAGAGATTTGCAATATTCATACGCGATGCTAGAGTTTTTTACGTGGAAACTCCTGAAATGGGGAAAAACCATGGGGTCTTGGCCAGATGTAAAATTCACTAAACCCTAAGTAATCACAAATCAACTAAAATATCAAAAGGCTCACGACCTGAAGTTTGATTATGCAAAGGAATTGCATGCCA